AGGAAAGGAAGGAAGGAAGGAAGGAAGGAAGGAAGGAAGGAAGGAAGAAAGGAAGGAAGGAAGGAAGGAAGGAAGGAAGGAAAATTTGAAGGGGAGGGAGGGAGGAAGGAAAGGAGGGAAGGAAAAATTTGAAGAAGAGGGAGGAAGGAAGGAAGGAAAAATTAGGAGGGAGGGAAGGAGGAAGGAAGGAAAAATAGGGAGGAAGGAAGGAAGGAAAAATTTGAAGAGGAGGGAGGGAGGAAGAAAGGAAAGTTAAGGAGGGAAAGGAGGAAAAATTAGGAGGGAAGGAGGGAAGGAAAATTAGGAGGAAGGAAGGAAAAATTAGGGAAGGAGAATTAGGGAGGGAAGGAAGGAAAAATTAGCAGAAGGGAGGGAAGAAGGAAGGAAGGAAAAATTAGAAGTAGAGGGAAAGAAAAGTAGGGAAGGAAGGAAAAATTGGAGGGAGGGAAGGAAGGAAGGAAAGGATAGGATAGTGATGATTTTTCTGGGGAATACTGGCTAGGAAATTTCCCCCCTTATTCGGACGGTTTTTTAAAATCATTTCGAAAGGCAATACCTTGTTTGTGTGTATGTGAGAATGAACAAGACTGGCGGTGTCTAATCTCCAGAACCTGTTTTTTGTTTCCTGTCAAGGGGAGTTCCTGGTTGCGTGACCTCTGCACGCCACCCGGTCTGCTCCCATCTCAAAGCATCTGAATTTTGCTTTTCACTGTCTTGTCCGGCTCTAATCTCCCCCACCGACCAGGCCCATCCCAGCCTGCTTTTTTTTTAAAAAATAAATAAATAAATGTGGTTTTTTTTTTTTGGAAATATGGGGAACTCTTGTGTATTCCATGTGTGTGTGTGTGTGTGTGTTCCAAGAACAAAAAAAGAAAAAAAAAGTTGCTTTTCCCATCCTTAGGACAGTAATGCGGAGTGCAGGAAATGTTCCTTGTCTCCATTCGGTCAGTTTGAGGTGAGAACATGAATCCCTACTTTAAATAAAAAAAAAATAAAAATCAAGTTTTTGGTTTGTTTGTTTGTTTTGTTTGTTTATTTATTTTTTTCTTCTCTGACTGCAGTCCGAAGCAAACAGCACATCCTCATTTTGTTTTTGTTGTTGTTGAGTTGTGGTTTTTTTTGGGCGTTTGTGTTCCCTTTTTTGTTGTTGTTCATGCTGTGAATTTTTGTTTCTTCTTTTCTTTTCTTTCTTCTGTTGTTTGGTTCAGCCTGCCGTGGAAGGGGTAGAGGTGAGAATTGATGGTAGAGGCACAAGGAAGCAGTGATCTCTCCTCTCCGTCTCCTCCCCTTCCTCCTCCTTCTCCTTTTCCTTCTCATCTTCCTCTTTCTCCTTGTCAACTTCCTCCTCCTCCTCCTCCTGTTCATCTTCCTCCTCCACTTATCTTCCTCTGTCTCTTCTTTCCTTGTTATCTTTCTCCTCACTTTCCTGGTCACCTTCTTTCTCCTCCTACTCTTCCTCCTTCCTTCTTTCCCTCTTCCTCCTTTTCCTTCTCTCCTTCCTTCTTCCCTTCTCTTCCCTCCATCCTCTCCCCCTCATTCTCCTCTCCCTCCTCCCTCCCCTTCCCTCCTCCCTCCCTCCCTCCCTTCCTTCCTTCCTTCCCCCTTTCCTCCCTCCTTGCCCTCCCTCCCTCCCTCCCTCCCTCCCTTCCTTCCTTCCTTCCTTCCTTCCTTCCTTCCTTCCTTCCTCCTTTCCTCCCTCCTTTC